TAGTTTAGATTTAGATTAGAATATTAGATTAGATTAGATTAAAATATTAGAAAAATATTTATTATTAGTTAGAAATAATAAGAATAAAAAGTTAGTTACTTTTAAAATTATAAATTAATTTATTTTTATAAGTATAATATATATTTACTACTATAGGAAATTTTATTAGAAATAATATAGATTTAATATTAATCTAATATCTATTTATATATACTTAGTTATACTATATAATAATAGTTATTTATTAATTATATTTATTATATATTATTCTAATTAATTAAAAGTTTATTTATAATAATAAAACTACTTTTAATAATATAAATTAAATAATTATATCTATTTAGTTTATTATTTTATTATATAATCTATTTAGAACTATAATAAATATTTATAGAGAATAGAAATTAATTAAAAAAAAAGCTATATCTTAAAAATAATTATTTATTTATATAGATCTATTATAATTTAATATATAATTTATAATTTTAATATATTATATATTATATTAAGATAATTAGAATAAAAATAACTTTTAAAAATTAGTTAAATTTATATTTTTATTTTTAATTATTTAATTTAAATTTAGATTAGAATATTAAATTAAATTAGATTAGAATAGTAGAAAAGTATTTATTATTAGTTAGAAATAATAAAAATAAAAAATTAATTATTTTTAAAATTATAAATTAATTTATCTCTATAAGTATAATATATAATTATTATTATAGGAAATTTTTATTAGAAATAATATAGATTTAATATTAATTTAATATCTATTTATATATATTTAGTTATATTATATAATAGAGGTTTTATTATAATACTAAGGCTTAGAGAAATAAGTTCTTCTCTAAGAGTTTATTATAGGATTTTATTATACTATAAACAGGGGCTATATAGAGCCCTCTATAAAAGAGCTATAAACAGCCAGTAGATAGAAAGAACTCAAGCCTTAAGAATTATATTATCTTATATATAAGTGAAGGTATTATAAACCTAGGTTTCAACTATAAGATATCCAACTATAGCTACCCTGTAGCTAATAACCAAGAACCTATTAACAACGCCCAAGCTAGTTACAGCTAGTTCTGAGCATAACAGATTTATCTCTTTTACTAAAGAAGTTTTATCTAATTTATAAAATAGTAATATAGTTATATAATCTTATTACTTATCTATTATAGAAATTTAAAATATTAAATATATAATTTATTAAATAAACTAATTAGATTTTTAATATTAAAATTATTATTATAGTAAAAAAATATAATTCTAAAACTATATTTTAATATATCTAGTTTAATAAATAATTAGTAGTTATTATTAAAATATATAAGTTTCAGCTTTAGATAGTTAATTAGATTTTATTTTTAGTATTTTCCCCCTCTGAATTCCGGGTAATAGCACGGACCCTCCATGATAGGTTCTGGGTTAATTCTCGGATAACAGAACCGCCCTGAACCCCGGTTGCACCAAGAACCGTTATAACAGACATGGTGAGTGGTGACGAAATTTGGAATGGATGGATGAGTTGCTGAACGTTGGAGGGAAGTATGAGTCGAACATGTTATAATGTCCTTGGCTTGGAGCTCGCTGATACTTACACTTTGGTATGATGCAAGTTTAGTGTCTAGTGACGCCCGCCTTTATTATTGCAGTTGGGCATAGAGAGACATTTCCATGCTGTGTATATGTTCCGCAACTCCGCAAGTGGAAAACTTCTCCATAGCTCAAAATTGGTTGCAACAGAGGTAGCCATCCAACGACGACTAGTGTATCAACAAGTTATATATTACTACATCGACAGCTCGCATCCCCAACCAATCTGGCGTCTCCTTTTATTACCACCAACGCTGCTAGCTGTTCTCTTGAGCTCCTTGACCATGGCTACCTTAATTGAAGCCCATGGCGGGTAGGCAGCTTAGTGTTTCCCTTCATTGGACATGTTGGTGTCATGTAATCAATAGTAAACAGTAGAACTTTGAGGGTTGGCAAGATCGCTTTGTCTGGTTCCTCCGTGTCCGAGTACAAAAGTCGCCGAGGTTCCCCACATCTGCTATAAACACTCTCTCGCCTTTGGCTGTTTGCCAGAATTGCTAGTCAAAAGTCCGCTTCTCGAAAGTCCGCCTCAACTGAACATGCTGGTGGATCAGTTCTCTAAGGGACTCTACTTCTGTAGCGAATCTACCGTTAGCGATACTGCCTTAAAGGAACAGGGCGAGATCTGCCTAGATAATGAAGTTTCCCCCTGCTACTGACGGGCTATTGTTGTCTTTGGGCTGAGTAGGTATTGGCGATCCCCTCCTTGCCTCGATGATTTTGCGCATGGACGGCGAGTCTCTAGACTACTTATGCCGGCGACGGAGCAAGAACCAAGCTGCAATGGCCCCGACTAGGATGCCAGCAATGAGATATTGCGTTGCGACACCTGCTACTGCACCGCCAGAAAGCCTGTCCGGGAAAGGGCTCGGTTTTTTTTTAATTGGCGTCAGTTCTACTTTGTTACTGTACTCGCCACAGAGGCCACGACAAAAGAGGAGGTTGTTATCGTGGAAGAAACAGCACTAGTTTGTGTCGTTGCTTGGGCTTTTGGCTGCCCAACAAAATCGGTAGTGGAAGATGTTAGCAATGAAAGAAAAGAAACCGTAAGGGTAGTTGAGCTTCAGAAGAGCTATGTAAACCTGGCGAGTCTGCCTGCATTTTTCTGATACTGAAAAGCAGTATTTGGCCTCTGAGTCGGATGAGTGATTTAATCCTACGTGTATATATAATGCGCTTTGTTTGCAGCCGCATCAGCCTTGCCGCACTAAGTCGGGGATGAGAACACCGTCAATTCCTTGAGATACTGCAAACCAGAAAAGAGACGGCATCAAGAGATTTACCAAGCCTCGGGTGGGTAAGATTCGCTGGCTTCTTCCTCAAGCTGGGTGATCTAGCTTTACATGGCCTTTCCTTCTTACGGTGCTGCTGGCGTATGCATTTCTCAACACAAGGATAGCCTCACCCTCTTGTCAAGAATCTAGACCGCAATATTCCCTACAGTCTGTATATGATATGCACATACGCCATTGAGTGGGAACAGACTACAAACCACCCATAAAATGTTGATCCCTTGCCACTAGTCATTGGGCTGAATGGACTGAAACTGCCTATTAGATTGGGCATTGACCAGGCTGGTCCGTTACTACCAAGGGTGTTGCGGTTGACTGGTTGAGAAGTCTGAAAGTCTCATACTGCAGACCTATTTGAACACTACTGTGGCTTTGACTAGCAAAGACCAGGTCTTATGGTGATTTGAAGCTACTACATAAGCATGGCATGTAACAACTTCTCCATCTCTAAGAGTACGGACCAAGACATTGATTGGCTCTTCACAGGAAACTACCAAAACGATACAGCACGCTGATATCACTTTGTCAATTGACCTTGGACCACTTTCACAGGCGAGAGAGATCCCCTCGCATCACTGGCCTGACCAATCTGTCTTACATATCTAGGTGTGGCACAGATGACCCCGAATAGGCCCGTTCAGGTCATTAATGACTGGCTAGAAGTGGTGAATGAGGTGAACGTAAATCCTCAACCACCTGGTCTATAATGCGGATTGGACTATCTCATCTTGGGGGGTTTCTTGCGCCGGCGGAGATGATCATATAGACCTTTCCACGACCCGGCGCGAGTTCTTCGAGATTTCTTGGATAGCAACACCATTGCGATCGCTCACTAGAATGGGCTCCCACGTATTCCTGAGCGCACAACCCAGGCTCAGCGGTTCACCATAGACTATCAGAGGTCGGTGTACAGCCACGTCAGGGGCAATTGTAGCCAAGATCGTGAAGTAAGCCCAGGGTTTGGGGTTTAATAAGTGTCCTCTTCCTTTTTTGCGTTCTCACTACATGGATCAACAAGACGATAATAAAAGCTTCAAACAATGTATCAAAGTGGCTGGGGTTGATCCAGATGAGCTACACCAATCATATTGCTGTAGTAGGCCTGAACGAGGCGGATGCAGCTTCAATCGCAGCCCTCAAAGCAAGTGCTGTTGAGTTTCAAAAGGGTGACCTCTTTCTTCACCGTGGAGCCGGCGGCGCACGGCAGACTTTTTCCTGATGCGCATCGTCTCCACGGAATTCGAATTTATCCAATTATGCCAAGAAACAGGATACGTGCCAAAGAGACTGGGCAGATAACTTCGATTAGGTCCCCCGTGTGAGCTCGTTCTTCGGTCTGCGCGCAGGGAGAGATTGACCATTGATAACAAGAATCGGTTCTGGAGAGATATTTTCGCCTTTATTCTGGTGGTTTATAGAAATAGCCAATCCAGAAAGCCCATGCTGGCAAAACCGGTCTGTTGGTTTCGCGGGCGAAGGAAATATGCCATTATTTTGCTGAAGGTAGAAGACCGTATGTTGGTCGAATTATCACGTTTTCCAGTGGTTTTTACAATAAATCTATCATGTTATTATCAATGAGTGAGATGCTAGGACTAACACCTGATTTGCGGAAAGACTGGTAAAGTCACATTGAGCGTTTTGGAATTCGGTTCTCTCGGTTCTGCCGAGAATCCTCGGCCAAAGCAGAATCGAACATCGCTTTTCCACTTTGGTCGGGACAGACGATCGCACGGGACAGTTCTTTACAGTAAATTGGATTTGACAAACCGGCAATAATAATACAAAGTAGCTGCCTCTAGAGGGCAAGACGGATGGCACAAAATCATGAGTGGCCAGAACGTCGTAGACAACTATCCAAGATCACTTCTGGGCTTGATATTCCTTGGTCGACGATAACAACCCCCAAATAACATATGAAAAATAGACCGGATTTCAGTATTGTGCCGCCACAACATGTTGCCGTATGCATTAATTTCCTGGATCTGAGTCGGAATACTTGTGGCGAGTCTGGTAACGGAGCTTCCAATCCGGTGGCCTTTTTCTTCTCATATGCTAGTTTTTGGCGTGGATGCTGATACGACCAACACATTTTCTGTGACCAAACCGTCATACAAGAAGAACGTGTCCCTCTTTTGTTTTTGAAGGTAGGACTCTCCCCTGAGACGATGCTCCCATCCGTGCGACACGTTGGTGTTCAAAATATCTCGTAGCGGCGCGTTCGAGGTCTAGCTGCTCCATCAGACGCCATTTCGCGCGTAGGAGGCCAAGCCATACGGCAAAACCCACGCAGCAAGGGTTGATGATAACAAGGCCGATAATGATGGGGTTCCGGAAGTCCACTCCCAAGGGGATTGCGAGGGAGCTGAGGAGATCTATGAAAAACAAGATGCATATGATGGGAAAGTAATGGTCGATTGTATCACCATACATGCCTGGTTCCTCTTCTAGGAAGACACAGATGGAACGAGGGACATGTAGTGTTTTCTGTATCCAGCGTCCCCAAGCGATAACTGTGCCCCGGTTGCGAGCCACGACACGTTGGATCAAGGCATACACTGGCGGTAGGAAAATCTCACAACAGAGTTGCATCATATCAAAGCTGAGTTCTGACATGCTGGCTGTCATATTGCGAAGAAGATAGTCCTCAACGACGCTTGAGAAAATGGAGCGTTGCAATAGTATAAGGAATTAGCCTCAGGCTGAGCTGGTATGAGACCATGAAAGGCTTGATGATTCGTCTTGATTCATAAACCAGAGCTTGCCGTGCTGTGCCCAAGGCTAGCCCATAGAGTTTGTTGGGGACAGCGACGTACGGCAGTGGATGGTCCCAAAGGTCCTTGATCAAGGTTCGAACCATGGCTACGAAGACACTGGTACACTTCAGTAATTCACAATGCTGCCTGGGGCTCAAGACCTTTTCTGTATCATTTGTGCCTTTGGGGAAGGACATTAAGGCTGATATCAATTCGCATGAGTTTGGTTCACCTTTTTTCGACAATTTCTTCGCGTCTCAGAGTTCAGACGCACTGTACTAAGGTATTCTCTTCATCAAGAGAAACCTCGGGTCTACGTTTCAGGGGGCTAGCCGCTTCATTCTCTAAACCTTGGCGACAAGATGATCGAGCAGGAGGCGAGGGAGTCGGTGATGGCTAGATGGGAGGCCGCTAACATGGGCACTCTCTGGCAAAGCCTGTGTATGACCTACTCTCCGGATCAGCTCAAGCAGGGCACAACAAGTAGATGAGACAGATGATACATTTTTAGTCCAAAACTTATGCTCTGGACCTTACTATGCTTCCTCTTATGTAAGCAGGCCTTGTCGCAATCAATTATTCAAGGTTACTTGCACCCGCATGTTGCAACAAACCGAACGTGCCAACACATCTCAGAGGGTAAATGGGTAAATAACCCCCTTTGCCATCTTCGAAATTTCTTGTATCCGGGAGCTGCCCCCTCCCGTTGATTGTAGGTATAGGATCAACTCTATCTGTAGTATATTGTCTTTTTTTTTAAACCCTTTTATTCTAAGTGCGTCATCTATTGCTCGGCATTGGGGGCGGGGCGAACTGGAAGCTCTTTTTGTTGTGCGCCAGGGTGGCGGGTTCCCTTATCCTTGACCTTCTTCTTCTTTTCCTTAACCGGGGCAGGGTATGCCTTTTCTGCGATTTCTTGCCACTCAGGAGATGCTTGGAAGGCTTCATTGATTGGGGCAAGAAGCTCATTGAGAGCCTTGGCAACTGCAGGCTTGAGCAGTTGAGGAGTCAGCTGTGAGTTTTGATTAGCAATGATCGTGATTAGTATAAGATTATAGAATGATTTCTGCATAGAGGACATACCACGTCGTTTTTGTAGTCCTCGTGCATCTGCGCGATGGTTGTGTAAACGAGAGGCTCAAGGCCATCCCTCTCACGATCGACACGGAACTCTCGGTTTCCCTTCAAGGCCGAGACAGGAAGTAAAACGTATTCAACGAATGCCAATACGCCGTTCTCTTCTACAACCTTAGGGGCGGCCATGGCCTTCTTGATCTTTTTCGTTACGACCTCTGGTGAGTCAAGGAGGTCGATTTTACTGTCTGTAGAGTTCAACGCACGAGGGGTCGTGTTACTAAGAATTCCAGGCATTTGACAATGGATGTGGCACGCAGAAATGAGGTGTGAGACTCACCTTGTTCACTTGCGCTCATTTTGCCGCCTTGTAAGCCAGGCACCATGGGGTTGCATAGATGGGCACGCTATCAGAATGTCAGCTCTGTTTTCTTGCTAAGAAGTCCTGTTGTGATCTAACCTCGCGGTATCCCAGTCTTGGGAGCCAGTCCTTGGCAGCAATGAACAGTTTTCGTTGGTCCAACCCTGGAGTAGATGCCTATTAGCGAAGCTGAACTTGTCTATGAATATCTGGAGGGAATGCGTTGCTAGGTAAATACCTCCAAATTGAGCATCGACATCCAGGTACTGCTCGTCTAAGACCTGCAGGATGGGGTAGAGAAGGCCACTCAGGGGAGCATTATCGGTCTGCTTGACCACTTCGGCTCCTGCTCGCTTGGCGTCGTGCTCGGATACCACAGACGCCAGCTTGTAGACATCCATGACATATTCAGGGCTTTTCTGGTAAGAGCTTCCAAGAACAAACTTGAGCTTATCGATCGGTACTCCAACTGCCTTGAGCATAGAGGAAATAATCAAGCGGTAGTATTCGGCACGAAGAGCGACCAATTCGATGGGAGCCTTGAGGTTGTCGAGGAACCCGTGGATATCGGCGAGAAGAACGGTAACGTGGCAGCCAGCGGCCAGGAGCTGGGCAATCTTCATAGCAGGAACCAGGTAACCGCAGTGAGGGCGACCAGTTGTTGCCGTTCCTATGAACGCAGTTAGCAAGCAAGCACCAATACTAATTGGGCAGAGCAACCAATCTCCTACCCCAGTAAATCTTGGGATGGCCCCCTTCAGCCAAAATCTTCTCAATAATCTCAGGGTTCAGAAACTCGGCCAAATTCTCCCGGATGAGAGCGAGCCTCTCAACTGCTCCAGTGGGTTCGGCCATTGTGTTGGATACGCGGTTGCGCTTGGGAGGCAATTGAATACGTCCGAACGATGGAGACACTTGGAGCAGTTGCTTGTTTTCAGGGAGAGTGATCTTATCTCGAGGGCTAGGCACGCGATCGGCTTCGGTCTAGCAGATGTTGCTCGCCGGCAGGTTTTTGGCGGGGTTTTATTTATCCAACTGCCTGACTCACATTAGGCATGAGTCTTAACGGCCGAAGTTGGGGCTTGGTGGGTTAGCGGGGTAGTTGGGCTGATAAGATAAGCGGGAGTGGCTGGACGTTGCCTGAGACGAGACAAACCAAGCCTTGTCTCGCCAAGTACGAATGTGAAATTACCTACTTTGATGTGCATACCAAGGTGCATGGCTCTAGGCCACTTAAATCAGTTGCTTTGGTTTACTTCATGGCTGGACTAGGCTTTCCTGGACAATCGCTTGGCTATGGATTACAACGTTGCCTTTGAGGAACCACGTGAGATTCTTGCTGAAGTACGCGGCAGAGAGTGATTGGCCCCGGGTTGTCATGCCAAACTTCAGGGGCGGCGTATGACAACATGTTCAATTCTGAGTGACAGTGATAGCAATGCCAGATATGTCGATGGCGAAAAAGAGTCGTTGAATGAGACTACGGATCGGCTCAGGCATTTGAAAGTCGGGTTGGACCAGTGGCTGCACCCCGCTACTCGCATGACCCCACTCACGGCGCACGCTCTTCACCTCTCTTTAGGTTGACAACACACACAGGCCAGTGATACCGTCCGGCTACCCAGTAGTCATAACACAGACTGAACTTCCAGGAAAAGAAAATTACAACATGGCTATCCCAAATGAGAAGCTACAGAAGGTACGTTTGTGACAGCAAACCGAGCGATTCTCCTCTGCAAGATGAGTGGGCAAGCGTTGACTAAAATGACCATCCAGCTCGTCCAGGAGATCGAGACCCAAGCGCTTGTCGCCCAACAGCAAATTGGGCTGGCCCGCGGTCAGATGGCCTCGAAGCAGCGTGAGCAACGCTTGGTTAAACTGACCCTGAGCGAGATGGCCAGCCTCCCCGATGATGCTGTAGTCTACGAAGGCGTCGGGAAGATGTGCGTATTCTTGCCCCTTTCCTTCCCCCCCTCTCTGTGCTTTGGGATGGTCATTTCACTGTTCTCTCACCGGCTGGGGATGTATCTGATGGAAACCTTCATCTTGGGGATGCTCGGTGACCGAGACTGACTGACCGAATCTTGAGCAGGTTTGCAGCCTTGCCCGTGACTGCTTTGCGGAAGAAGCTGGATAACCAGACTAACGATCTGGATGGCGAGGTGGAAAAGCTGAGCCAGCGCCTACTCTACCTGGAGACAACTCATAAGAACAGCCGCGAGCATATTGAGCAGATGCTGCGTGGGCGCTAACTGTAACACCGATCTCTATACACCTGCGTCATCTCCCCCCCTCTCCTTCTTGCTGGAATTTAGGGCTAGGTAAGCCGATCTAGGTGTTGCATCAACGGCCCACCGGCTCAGATAACCGCCATACTACTGGACTGGGATGCCTGATCAAGGAGCGAAATTAGGATGGAGATGGATCTACAGAGAAGATGGGTTTAAGACGGGCCTGACCTGGCAACTTTTGAAAACAGGACAGTGGGTGAGAAAACTGAAGGCGTGAAACTGGGCTAGACGAGGTTGTTATTTTGTTGGCAGTGAAGGGGTAAGAGTTGGCGGCTACATGCAATCAAGCCTGAAAGCGCGCGTAACGGTTGGTGACTGGGAGCTCCTTGGGTTCAGAGCAGCCGTAATGGGGTGGAAAAGCGACTAATCGACATGCACGGTCGATGACGGAGAAGCTATTTATTGAGCTGGATGGGATCCGCTACTTTAAATATATTTGACTTGAGCCTCAGCTTGATGTCCTGGTACATATGTTGCGAGAGAGGTGTCTTGTCCATAAATAGAACCAAGCAGACGATCCTGCCCAGCCGTGCAGGGAGGGGTGAGCAACTGTGACTCAGGGACCAAAGCAGGTGCCAGCTTGGCGGACACGGCGTGCATTTGTGTGGGTGTAGTGGCTTTGGATGAGAGGGCGCGGCCGCACACGCATTATTCCATAGCATGTCCTGCAGCATCCTTGCTGCAGAAACGTCTCAGGTGCGCTTTGCTCCATCCCAGATCGTCGGATTGCTTTTGTCTCACACAAGCGCCGGAGTGCCACGTTTCATCTCGGGGGCGGCCAGCTTCTATGGACGACAAACAGACGGAAGGCCGAAAAGAGGATACGTTGCGTCGCCGTAGGCCTAACCACGATGCTTGCTTCCCAGGCTCGGTTGGGCGACTGATGGACCGATGCCTGTATTACACCCTGCATTCTTGCTTGACTGGGGGCTCCGGTACTTGCTGGAGGGGACGGGGCCGGGAGGGAGCGTTGTCCACAGCCTGCCACCAAGTCACACTTAGGGAAGTATTCTGCGCACTTGCCCAGCCCTACGAGCCACCCGGCCTGGGCCTAGGCCACCTATGGCGACCAACAGCACTAAAGTATAGCGCCCCTCCCACCCCATTGTGCCTGATGGGTCGCTTTGCAGTCTCTGAATGGCCCAAATCGAAGCTCCGACACCCCAGCCACCGCTCCAGGCTCCTCCATCCCACCTCACTTCAGTCTGGCCCCTCCACTGGTCTATCTCCTCTCCACCGCTCCTGTCTGTCTGTGATGCGGGCTGCAAGAGGAGGACCAACAGTATCTCATGTCCTCCAAGACCGGCGAGAAACCAAAAGCGAAACAGGCGCTTCCAAGTACCCACAGTCTTTGCAGATTAATTATAGTACCTTGCCTACCTACCTATCTGGAAATGATACCCAGCTGTTGGTCCTCTGTGTGCATGTCCCGCCAGGGTGTGCAGGTGTTGCGTAATTCATCGGCAGTGAGCTGAAAATCACTTAAGCAAGGTCAGTTCGTCTGACCCCTCCATCCCTTCTCCCTGCCAGAGGCAAGTCTTTTCAAGCCGACTTCGCAAGTAGTTCCAGACGTTGTGCGACGTTTCACCGTCTTCTCCCGCCCTATATTACTTACACGCCTACGCCTTCCAGACCGGGCCTGTTTCCCAGTCTTTCGACTCTCTCTTTTCCTCTTTACACCATCAGTTCGTTCCAGACTGGGTAGCGCAGCGGCCGCGGCTTATTCCACTGAAACGAATCCCAGCCTTACGCTTACATCCCTGCCTGACCATCCCCGCTATCCATCCTGGTCTGCCGCACCGATCGAAAACCTATTTAGGGCCGTCTGCTTACTTGCTGGCCTCGGTCGCCTTCCAGCTCGTCAGCCACACGACTATTTCTTCTAGACCGGCCTCTTCTACCTCGCTGTGTCCTGTTCCCTCTTACACATTTTCCCTCTCTCCTCTCTCCCTTGTTCTACGTGCGACCCACCCGCCTACAGACCTGTTCTCAACACCATCAGGGCTGCCCACAACATCAACCAACATCACCAAGAGATAACAAAACCCACTCAAGATCGGCAAGACATTTCCCGAAAAAATAAAACCGCCATGTCTCGGTACAGCGACGACGAGCTGGACATCCGTTTCCGCCGGCGCGACTCTTCGAGCTCGCCTCGCCGCGGCGGTGTCCGTTATGTTCCCAACAGACCGTACCCAGCGTCTCCAAGACAGACTTATTTGCCAGACCCTCAATTAAGGGTAATTACTCGCTCACGATCGCACTCGCGCCACAGGGAAACCCCGCCTCCGGCCCAGGCTGCCCCGCCCCCGCCCCAACCCATCATTATCAACAACAACACCTACCGCGATCACTCTTCTGACGAGTCATCCGACTCTGACTATGATCGCCATAAGAGCCGCAATCGACGCCAGATGGTCCGCCGCCGCCGCCCATCATCCTCTAGCCCCAGCGACCGCTCGCGTTCCCGTAACCGAACGCGAGAAGACTACGAGGCAGAGGCGGCCCGCCAACAACTGGAGCGGATACGCTTCGACCAGGCGCGCGATGAGGAGAAGCGCCGGCTTGCAAGAATGTACCGCGACCAGGGCGACTTGGAGCGTGCCAAGAAGGAGCTGGACGACATCAAGGCGCGCGAAGAGCAGATGCGCATAAGCCAGGCGCACAATGAGGAAAAGCATCGGCTCGAAAAAATGTACCGCGACCAAGGTGACTTGGAGCGAGCCAAGAAGGAGCTGGACGACATCAAGGCACGTGAAGCAAAGGAAAGAGAGGAAAAGCGCATCAAGCAGGAGCTTGAGCACAAGCGCCTGCAACAAGAGGCTGAGGAAGCCGAGATAGCGGCTCTTCGCAAGAAAGAGGCCGAGCGCGCTGTGGAGAAATACAAGCAGGAAGAGGCGAAGCGGAAGGCCGAGGAAAAGGCTGCGAAAGAGCTCGCGGAGAAGGAGTATCAACGCCGACTCCAAGAACAACTCCTCCACTCTGGAGTTGACGAGAAAGCAATCGCAGCGATCATGAAGAAGGAGAAGATTGCCGAGCCCAAGCCCGAACCTGGCCCGGCTCCGGCTCCAGCTCCAGCCAATCAGCTTGCTCGCCCAACCTACACGCGCATGTCCCGCCGGCATCTCTCTTTTGAAACCCTGAGAGCATTTGAGCTTGACTGGGACATGGATGCAGTAAGACTGATTCCCCATTTCTATTGTTGGTTGTTAACGAATACTAACATGTTCCCTCTCAGGATCCGGAATACGTCCTCATCAAGCGTTGGGTCCCAGAATGGGAGCAAAACAACATGTGGAAGCACACACGGGCTCTCCGTCACAAGCGTGGCAAGGATGAGCACCACCACCATCGGGAGGAGTCATATGAGTTTGTGAGGAAGAAGAGCCACTCCCGCAGGAGAAGCAAGTCTCCAGGCCTCCTCATGTTCCTAGCCGGTGGCCGCCCATGATTTAAACTTTGCTTCGGACATTTGTTTTGACTAACCGCTTTTCCCATTCGTACCTTTTCTCAACTAGATGTGCCGTTTCATTGGAAGAAGATGCCACGTGGGATCGGCACTGAAGCTACGTCAATCAAGTTTTGTTAACGCAACGTTGCTCCACTTATTTATTCATTCTCAGGGGGGGAAGCTTGGGGTTACGAATATCAAGATCTATTACGAGAATCTATGCTTTTAGAGCAATCAAGTCTTTTTGTATATCCTTGCCCAAACGCCGGTGATATGTCCATATTCTATCTTCGTAGAGCGGGAGTTGATGGTACAGAGTATGAGAAATGAGAGGGGCTTTGTTTGTGACTGGTATGGATGGGTGAATGGAAAGGGAGCCTATAGGGATCTGGGTGTGCCGGCACGGCGAATCAATTCTTCATACACTGTCCAGGCAAGAGCTGAGCTCATGGCTTTTCGACCCATACGGAGACCCAGTCCATCCCACAGGCTTCGGAAGCCATCTTCGGTGACCATCTTATAAGCAGCCTGCGCCATATTTCTATATTGTTCCGGCTGCAGCTGGATCCGAGTCTTGATGGCGTCGAAAGGATTGGAGAGGGCTGAGCAAATTCCAGCCGCAAGGCTTGCCGAAGCAAAATTAACCGAACCAGCTACCGATGCTTGCATCTTCGTTGGTTCGTGAGATTGGCCTGGTGGGTGTGCCAGCTTACTAAACTGGCTTTTTAGGAGTTCATAGAAGAGTACATATGAGCCAGCATAGGGCGCATCTCGCATGGCAGTGGCACCGAAGCCTGAGAAGAAACCTCGGAAGCCATTAACCCTTTGGATGTCTTTGGCTGCTGCCCAAAGTGATGGATACGAGTAGAGATTCGACTCAAAACGTACTTTGATCACTGTAAGCGGCATTAACACGAAGCCAGCAAAGGTGCGGGCCACAGCCCCAGACACAAGGTTAGCAGAATTACTCAGCGTGGGAAGAGCAGAAGACCCATAATGTAGCTGATTGTGTGACCGAAAGAAATCCCAATTTCGAGCTTGCTGGCGAATTGAGCTTAGGGTTGTGAAGTAAAGGGCCGAGCCAAATCCAGTTCGCAAGGCTGATGGGAGCGTCCCTCGCCAAAGACTGGCCACGAACTTGGGAGACTGTCTCATATCCCGAAGGAGATTCCTTAACGATGAATGTCCTGACTGCTGCATGCGTGTTTTCAAAAGGTCCAAAGGCTGCAGAATAACAGCTGAGGCAACTCCAGACCCAAGACCCGAAACAAAGTGGTGTCCTGAGCATTTCCAAGTCAGATAAGAAGGACCGAAATGATTAGGAGAGACGATGTAGAAAGAAGAAGAAAAGTTCAAGGCGAATGGTTTCCTGCATTTGGGTATGCGCACCTGACGTTGCCGATGCCGGCGACTTGGTCCTGGTCACGCTCATAATGATGGGTGATGCGCTCTATTCATCATAGTCGGAGCTACAAATGTATCGATGCCAATACGGGTGGGAAGTGACCATCAAGAGCCCAGAGCGTCGTTCGTGAGATGGTAAAGCTGTATCCGGGATTGACGGGAAATGGGTCAAGTGAGCTGATACGTCGATCGTGAATGCGATCGAGATAGCGGCTACTCACGGCTAAACGCCGGTTGTCGGGAAGGTTGCAGGCCAGCTTCCAACTCTGCCCAGATGTCAGAGCATGGGGCTTAGACAGGAAAATAGAGTTTGACTATAAGCCGACTCAAGCACTCGTCATTGAATGTAGAAGTACTGTTAAATGGAAGCTGGTAATGGTGTTGTAGGGAAGATTGATCGGTCTGATCTGTGCCAGTCTGTGACTATGCTGAGCAAAGTACGTCGAAATACAGACATCAATTGGTGCTGGTGCTCTGGCCTCTACTGTAATCGCCGATGACAGACTCCAGTCGGCCAGCCAGCAGGCGGTGTCGCTTCACCAAGTCCACCCACTCGCTGACTCCGATGGTAGACAGGAGCAAGCCAAAGTCGGCGCCCAGTCTACCAAAGCTGCCAGAGCAGTAAAGAACCTGCGTCAGTATGCTCTCCCGGGCAGCCTGCTCCTTGACTGTAGGCAGGTGCTGTCGCAAGGTCTCGAGTAGCATCTCCACAAGATGCAGCGGCAGTGTAGAGATAGCTGAGGGGAGCGGCATGAGAGATTCATCGTCCACGCTATGAGATGCTGGAGAATCGAAGCTGGCATTGACACTCTTAAAAACCGAAGCAATGCTGAATGTGTGTTCACGAAAGATTTCGACATAGCGTTTCAGGTACCTCTCGGTTTGTTGCCCACCAAAATTAGACTGTGTTGATTTACCTTGCCTGGACCGCTCCTCTTCGGCCAACTCCCTCAGCGGATCTAGAGCCTCCAGTTGATTGAGAAGCGTGGCAACACGACAGACTAGGTAGAGCGCTGGGAGTGCATCGTTTGGGGAGGCGTCGCTGATAAGGTCAGGGGCAATCCGCTTGAGCCAACCGACAGTTCTGAGAGCGGCAGCCAATTTGAGGCTGGGTGCTTTGAGACTTGAGATGAGGTCCACAGCCATTTGACGAATGGCAATATCTGCCTCGCTCAGGATAGACAAGACTAGCGGAGAACTGGGGTATAGAGATGCAAGACGACGGATGTGGGTATACAGATCAAGGGTGGATGAGTAGTTGACAGGCGTGGTCCTGATGGCGGAATTCAGGAGAGGAGGGAGCTCCATGGCGTCCACCAAACGCTCCGAGTTCTGCAGCATGCGAAGGGCCCGTTTCCGACGAGCGAGCGTATCGCTCTCGGCTGCCTTGCCAAAAGTAGTGGCAAAATACTCAGCTTGGCCATCCAAACGCGGGACAGACTGGCCCAGGTCGGCAGCACTCTGGGCGAGCGCCGGCAACGACTGGCGCAGGGTCGAATGACTGGCCGCCGACGCAACCAGAGGCTTGTGCGATCGCTTTGAGAGAGCCTGGATCTGGAGCAGGACTGAGTGCGATGTATGCGTAAGCTGCTGCGGCTCGGAGGCGGCAAGGGCATTGGCAGGCACATCCGCCAAATGGGCCAGATATTTCAGGGCAGCGCCGTCAGTCACGGTCCGCTGGGGATCCAGGAGCTCGTGCAGAGATTCAGCCATGGTGGGCGAGTGGCCGAGAGAGGTCAGCTGGCAATCCGGGCACAAGTAAGGGAGGGCTGGTCAGTCGATGCGAGGGGAGCTAGGGGCGTGCTCACGAGGTTGTATCCAGTCCCTCTGTCCTACTGTGAGCTGTCTCCAGGGAATGACCACCCTCTGGCGAGGTACCCTGCACCCACCCAACCGTTTGCTGCCTGTCCGCAGTACCTAACCCACCGCCCGGCCCCTAAAGCGCGCTTGTGACAGGTCACTGCACAGCAGTCGCAGGTCCCCTCGCTGCAAGCATGACCTAACCTTAATTGCTACATGTACTTGCCTCTTATTACGTACCTTTGCTGCCCCAACAGATTTGGCTGGATTCCTCCCCATCAACCAGCCGGCGCTTCACTTCGCCCTCCTTTCTCTCGCACTCCGGCTGCCATTATCATGGGTCCTTAATCCTCGTGGCTTCCATAGTCGATCCAGCTCAGCCCCTTCTGCTCCACTGGCGCATCATCTTCTCCACCCCTCCGCCATACTCAAGTCCTGGGTTCAAGACCGTCGCGTGCCCACGTCATTTCTCTCTCTGTCCCTCCCCCCAACTCGAGGTTCTCAAATAAGATAACTACCGCCGTCCGCCTCCTGCGCCGTTCCGAGGTCGAATTAACAACTTCTCCGGAAGATATTGCTCGAACCCTGGGAACGACGCAGCCCCTAACGACCACCACGAACCTACATCTCCGATCTACTTTAGCTATCCTTCACCATGGAGGACCCCTTTTTCATTGCCCCAATCCCATGGCTGTCAGAGCTCGTCAAGCCATGGGCCGACCGTCTTGGGATGGTTACACTACCTCTGCATATCCATGAAGTCGTCGGAAGCGCCCTCTTCTACTCGCTCATTTTCTGGCCTGTGTCGCCCATCATCTCCAACATCCTGGCGCCCCAGTACTACTCCAAGCTTCCCCGCAAGACGAAGCTGAACTGGGATGCCCATGTCGTGTCTATGGTTCAGAGCTGCCTCATCAATGTCCTGGCGATATGGGTTATGCTTGCCAACGAGGAACGTAGGCGCATGGACTGGGAGGAGCGGGTTTGGGGCTATACGGGCGCCGAAGGCATGATCCAGGCTCTTGCTGCTGGATACTTTGTCTGGGACTTCTTTGTTAGCAGCTTGCATTTCGATGTTTTCGGTCCTGGTACTTTGGCCCATGCCATCGCTGCTCTGCTGGTGTACGGCTTAGGATTTGTATGTATCATCCTTGGCTCGACCTTCCTCCGAAAGCTTTCCAGACAGCCTACTAACTCCAGATTCCATATCTAGCGCCCCCTCGTTAACTTCTACGCCCCAGTATTCATTCTATGGGAGCTTTCTACCCCTTTTCTGAACGTTCATTGGTTCATGGACAAGGTCAAGATGACAGGATCCAAGGGCCAACTGTATAACGGCATTGCACTCCTCTTCACCTTCTTCACCTCGCGTCTCGTTTTTGGAACATATCAGTCCTACGTCGTCCTAAGCGACATCAGGCTTGCTCTCCAGAACCTCCACCCTAGCCCTACTAAGCTAGATATCTCTACCATGATATTTGCGACTGAGGCCTCAACCGTACCTGTTTGGCAAGCCGTTACTTATCTAGCCAGCAACCTGACCCTCAACTTCTTAAACTTTCACTGGTTTTTCAGGATGATCCGTGCTGTCCGCAAACGATTTGTGCCTGCCGACAAGCCCGCCGAAGTGCCCGTTAATGAGACAGCCACCGAGTCAGGCGTGGATCTATCAACGCTCGCTTCGGGGGTCCCGGAGAAGGTCCAGGGAAGGCGCCGCAAAGCATGAAGAAAGGCCCAGATTTCGAAACACCTCAGGCTTCCTCATCGCCTGCAGAATAGCAAGAGCTCAAATCTGGTCACAACGATAACAAAGCTGAACTCCGAGAGTCCAATATTCATCTGATCCTGGCAAGGCCAACGAAAAGATGAAACAGCACATCAGATAACTGCAGTTATCAGCGGCATCCCGTATGCTTGCCAGCCGTGACCCCAGATAGCCAAACTGGAAACACTAACAAGGTTTCAGCAACCCGCGTCTATTTTTTTGGCTAGTCACATATAGAGCGCAGTTTCTTATACACCTGTGGGATTTGATAGATAGCCTTGTCTGCTTTCCCCCTTCTGATTCTTGTTCTTTCTTCGTGCATCTAGATCTCTCTTCACATCAATGAACAATCACATAGCAAACGAGGAACGCCGTGCAAGCCTTCACGATTTAGCCAGCCTGAAATATTAATACTGAAGCCAACGCAATTAAATTTTCCAATTATGCAACAGTGGCTAGAATATATACTATAATGTCGATGTCGATAAAAAAACTATGTAGCCTGCCGGTGCTCCAGGTTCAGATCTACGTACATACATACAGGTAGCTAAGTCTATAAGACAGGCGTGTCCTATCATCCAATATGCTTAATCGAGTCGCTCAACTGCAATTATCACAACTCATATGGCCCACGCCTACATGCATGGAATTAAGTAAAGGGGGGGAGTCGCGAGAGTGTCCTTTTGCAGTGAGATGGTCCGGGCAAAAGGCTTAGAAGCCGAACGGATTCTGCGGAGCTGTGAACTTTCAGTTAGCATTTAGATCGTGACAACGCCTTAAGATATTGAGACTTACTAGCTTGAGACAGGTTTGCTCTGCGTCCTGTCGCCTGTGGGGCCAGCTTCTTGGTGTCTGGTGTGACGCCAAAGCGAACTGGCGGGGCCGGGCCAGTCTGCTGAGGCTGGAGGGGCTGAAGAGGTTGTTGCTGGGTTGCCTGCTGGGGGTTGAATGAATTGATTCCCGTCGGCTGAGCTTGGATACCGGGCATTCCAGTTCTTTGAGGCTCAAGGGCAGGAGGTAAGAAGTTGTTGATTCCTTGACCTTGATTTGGCTGACCAAAAGAATTCTGCATGTTGTTGCCAAATTGTTGGAAACCAGTAGGCTGAGCTTGCATTGGAGAGAAGGACTGGGGTCGGCTTGGGTCCATGAACGGACCGGAGTTTGGCGCGCCAGTCATCATAGGCTGCAGGTATGCAGCGGGAGCCATCGAGTAACCCATTTGCTGTGCCCCTTGGAAACCCGTGTAAGCCGGCTGTAGCTGTGCAGCAGCGAGCTGTTGCTGCTGCTGTAGTTGCTGCTGTTGCAGTTGCTGTTGTTGTAGCTGCTGCTGCCGAGCCTGTGTTATCTCGTTCAAGCTCTGGCCCGTGGGTGCCACTTGGCTTTGCAACAGCCCACCTGTCATCTGAGGGACAAGACCGGGAGAAGCAAAGGCACTTTGTTGTGCGCTCAGGGGCGCAGATAATGGTCGCTGGGGTGGCGGCGGCACAAGTGAATTTTGGGGAGAAAGGGGCTGAGGGGGGATCGGGCGTTGACGTGCTCCTGCGGTTGCGACCCCCGTTGCCATAGCTTGTTGTGGCGGAGGCAAGGAGGAGAAAAAGTTTGGATTTGCTCCTTGTAAGGGCTGAGTCGTGGCAGTTGCTTGAGGGACAAGCTGGGGAGCAGCCGCAGGTATAGTAGGTTGAGTGGGCTGAGACTGTCCCTCTACCTTGGTCGGCTGCAGCGGCTCGCTCAGGAGAGAGAGCTCCTTCATCGAACCGGTCAAAGGGGCGCTTGAAGGTGCTGCGGGAGCGGCTGGAGCTGCAGGCGCTGGAGCTGGCGCTGGGGACTGCGGCTTGGGCTCTGCTGGAGGTTGCTTGCTGGGCTTCACATCCCAGGCATCATCATCAAACCCACCGCCGGCTTTCGAGCTGCCAGCATTTGTGTTGTTGGCCTTTACTGGGCTCGCAGGGGTAGGTGAAGATTTTGACTCGTCAGCAGCAGGACTTGATTTATCGCCTTTCGAAAAGGCGGCAGCATCAACAACGTCACTTGTTTGGACAGCGGGAGCAGGGCGTCCCTTGCGGGTGTTGTTGCGAAGAGTACCGCCTGCGCCAGAGAAAAGCCCACCGTCGCCATCCTTTGCCCGTTGTCGTCCAAACTTATTATCCAAAGTCCGCATTACCTTGATGATATCCCCTTCGCGGAGTCCCAAATTCCGAAGAATAACAGCGTCGACATCCGGCAATACACTTTCATCCATCGAGTCCTTGATGAATGCCTGTGCATATCGTTCGCAGAGACCCACGGCGATATCGCAGTCCAGGAAGAACTGGAACCAGTCATATTCGGGTTTCTTGTTCTTCTCGACCTTTGAGCTAGCAGCAGGGGTGGCCTTGTCGGGAGATCTAGACTTGCGAGAAGATGATGCAGCATCGTCAGTCTGAAGGGGGATGCCTGTGAGGTTTTCTACATATTCAAGATCGTCTCGTGACATCTTAGCTATAGGGACCGCAATCTTGACACCATTCATCTTGTGAAGGTGGATCTTGCTATCCTTGAGTCCAAGGAATTGGGCGTCAACACTGAAAGACTTGGATCGATCTGTCCACGTTCGGACTTTCGAAGGGTCGGGTTCTGGCGCCAAGGGAGAAAAGGAGAAAATTAGTTAGTCAACCGAATGGCTTGTAATCTAGAAGGAGAGAACGGGGATGGAGTGAACTCACTGGCTTTGGGCTTGGCCTGGCCACTACTCTCGCCTCGACCATTTTCACGCCGACTTCGCTGTTTTCCCGAATTATTACCATTTTCACTTGCGGCGAGACTGCTGCCTCGTGCGGGAAGAGGCACTCCATGCCCTACCTGCTCTGGTTCTTTGCTGGCCTTCAGTGCCTCCTTTGTAAGTCTGAGCTCATCCAAACGATTCTGCTCCACCGTCGACCTGAGATTATCATAATCCGACTGTCCAGCGCCAGCTGCCACAGTCCCCGTTACTTCGATGTAGCTGCTTGGCACAACGCCTTCCTTGCCGTTCTTGAGCCGGCGAACTTGCCACCATTCCTCGCTCTTCGAATCGTCAACGACAAAGACCTCGTCACCGGCGGACACGGACACCTCGTCCTCGCCCTGCGCTGTAAAATCGTACAGTATATGGCCCTTCTTCATACCCTGCTTGGATCCTGCCATGATCACCTCGCGAAGCCCCTCGGCCCGGACAGCTCCAGCCATCTCGCCGAGGGACATGACAATCTCTTCGGCGGTGTCCTTGGCTCCGGCGTGGAAATCGATGCTCTTGCTTGGGCGGACAAGCTCCATAAAGACGTGCTTACCTTCCCGGGAATAATGGGTCATCCGGTCAGCCGTCCATTCCTGTGATGGGCCGTCTTGGGCGTATTCTGGTGCGATGAGAATAATTCCCGTTCTGAGATTGATACCAAGAGTGGTTGGCATCTTCTTCCTCTTTCCCATGATAGATACCATCTCGTTAATGTTGTACAAGTGATAGCCTCCTGGCGACTTCGCAGGGTCGGGAGGAATGGTCACGTCGTCATCATTAGGTGGAGGCGGCGGGCTACGTGAGACTTCCAACGTTGGCGGTCGTGGTCGTGGTCGCGAGGGCAAGGCTGGAGATCGAGCAGACTCATCATCCGATGCATGCTGATAGTCATCGTGCTGCGAAAATGACCGTTGAGGCTGGGGAGGAGGAGAGGGCGAGGATGGCTGAGGAGGCACCGCACGACCTGCCATCACCCCCGCAAGAGCTGCCGCAGGTCCTGCCGGAGCACGAGGCGGCGATGCTTGGACAGGGCTCTGTGGTTCTTCTTCGACGGCTGCCGGCTGTGGTCTCGAGGGGAGTGCTGGAGGCGCTGGCGCCACAGCTTCCGCAGCAGCGTCATCGGAAATAGCGGACATGTCGATATAATTCGATGGGACAAACCCGTAATCATCGTCGAGACCAACCAGAATCCAATCCGGATCTGAGGTGTCGAAGACATCGAGGACGGCATCTTCGGGGAAGGATAATTCTTCATCGGTCTGGCGGGTATACTCGTAAAGTGCCCTCGCATGGCCTTGGTTGGGAACCTATTTTGCAAGTTAGCTCAGCTCTTGGCATAAACCAACTGGCGGGATCACCGGCCAGTCCGCGAGTGCCGCATGACCGCTGGGGAGCAGAGCTGGCCGCGTGAGTCGCATCTTCCACGAAATCCGCGATCAACAGATGCCCGATTGGGTGCGCACGTAAACAGCTCGGTGCGACAAAATCATGGAATTGAAGCCAGGAACCATTGCAAGTATTACACACCTCTTCGACATAATTATGCGGAATTAAGCCTATGGGCTCGTCCTCGTCCTCGGCGCCGGCCTTCTTCTTGGCTTTCCACCATCCGTCGTCGTCATTCTTCTCCAGCACGTAGAGCAGGTCACCCTCTTCGATCGCAAGCTCGCCATCGGCCTGGGGCGCGTAGTCGTAAAGCGCCTTGTAAACACCAAGGAACCCCATGGCAAACGGCGTCACCCGTGCGGCTGCGCTACACTGACTTGGGCTGATTGTTCTTCGATCGGTGGTCGAGGGGGGGAGGGGGCTGTGGTTTGCGTGGACAGGAGCAGCCAGTAATTAGCTATTAGGCGTGTGCGGCTCTCCGTTTCATAAGCCCGGGAGCTGTCGAGTATACTCTAAACTTGTGATCGTGGGTAGATGTCGCCGTTGCCGTAGCCCGGTCGGGAGGGAGAGGACGACGAAGTGGTTGAGGGCGAGAGAGCGGGTTGGTTAGGAGTCGGCCTGCCTTTGCTATGGATCCAGCTATCTGCAGTTAGTATTATGGATGATGTAGCTGGAGGATATAGACGCACAGAGGCTAAGTAAGCTGTGGTATGATGGGCGCACTGTCTCTCTTCTGGACGCAAGTACCCAGACTTGGACAGGGGGCTTGAGGGCTGCAGGATGGCGCTGCTGCTGCTAATTGGCCTCCGGCCACAGGTATATC